AATTGCTTTTTTATTATTATTTCTGTAATGAAAATGAATAGAAATTGAATTACAATGTTGCTCCAAGCTGGTTTATGCAGTTACTTGTGTATTTGTTTTTATTAAAATTGATTTTACGTATTGTACTTCTGCATATTTTGGCTATTTGCTAACACAACTAAAATTGAATGTTTATGTTTTAAAAGTTAATTTTCTTATTCAAATATTTAGGGTATTACTACTGTAAAGCATGAATTACTATGTTTATTATTGTTGTATAATTTATATATTATATTATTTAATAATAAATTATAGCATGTGCTTTTGTTGTTTTATTTTATTTTTCTGCAAGAAATAAAAGCAGCTTTATTAATTTTGGTCCTTAATTTGTCGTTTGCATATCATTTGCTATTAACAAACAATTTAAACAAAACAACACAAAACAAAAAACAACACAAAACAAAAAACAACACAAAACAAAACAACCAAACAAAAAACAAACAAAAACAAACAAAAAAAACAAAAAAAAACTTACTAAAACTAGTGACATTACAAGTGTCTTTGAAAGGCAGAGGAAAGGCATTGTACTAGAGCGGATGGAGATGAAGCTGTATATGAATCAGTCTCAGTTGCTGACAGAGCTCTTCCTCTCATTTGTCTCTCCGAGCGGGTCTGGATCTGCAGGCTGCTCACTCCTCAGTGTCATGGTGAGGTCCTGCTGCTCTTCAACATCCCAGCGGCACAACAGCAGGCTGATGGGACCTGACCTTCCTCTCCTACCCCGTCCTGACTGTTTTCACATCTCGCACAAACCATCCAGGGCCTCAAAACATGCCCGCAGGGAACGCAGAAATACTAGATAAAGAATTCTGACTATGCATAAGGAAAGACTGTAATGGCACAGCTTTTGCCCTTTTGAGTTGCTGCTTTACTGACAATAAATCACTCACTCTATGTACATACTAAAAACACGACAGCCATACACTTGCTAAGAAAGTCACTTTTTGGATTCTTACAGGAATAGCTCACCCAAAGAAGAGAGAATTCTGTCATGCTTTACTCACAGTCCCAGTTTTCAACCAGCATTCAACATTCTTCAAAATATATACTGCAAAAAATGGCCGTGATTTCAACGGTAAAAAACTGTAAAAATGCTACAGTATAAATCCGTAACCTGGTTATTGGTATGTTTCCCTTAATATATACGGCAAACAACCGTAAATTGACTTTCCCAGAATTCCCTGCATGGCACATCACTTTTTATGCATTTTATTGACATTAATATGGATCTTTTTAGTTGTTTCCTCATCAGTTATGTACATTAGAGATTTATGTTAAATCTAATGTTGATAAACAATGTTTATTTCATGACTTTAATTTTATGCGTGTTACCATACTGGTGTTTAGTAGCTGTGTGAATGACACTGAGCACCTTCTATATGCTGAAACTCTTTTCTGCTTGTGGGAAAAGTTGATTGTGATGAGCATTGGCTCATTATGTAACTTCCTCAGCGCCACCTGCATGTTGTGGGTGTGCTAACGTGTCTAACTGTGTAACAAAAGATGTGTAGATGTTGGTCATTCAAAATACAGATATATTACCTCTATAAATGAATAAAATACGGTAATTTACCGTAAAAATGAAAAATTACTTTTACGGTTTGTACCGTGATTTTAACGGAAAAGTACTGGCAACCACAGCTGCCGTTTTTTTACCGTAAAGTTTACGGATTCATTTTTTACAGTGTATATTTGTGCTTAATAGAAAAAAGAGATAAATGTAATTAATGTCTGGAACGCCTTTTAAAGGAAAGTAAATATTGAGTGAATTTACATTTTTGGGGTGAACTTTCCCTTTAAGAGTCTAATATCGGATCATACAATTATACACTACGTCCTCGCAGGACTCCCAGAGTTTATTCATCTTTGGATTCATCTTCAAAGCCTCCTCCTTCATCTTTACCCAGACATGCTCAATAATGTTCATCTCTGGTGACTGGGCAGGCCAATCCTGCAGTACATTGACCTTCTTTGCTTTCAGGATCTTTGATATGGAAGCTGAGGTATAAGAAGGAGCGCTATCCTGCTGGAGAATTTGCCCTCTCCTCTGGTTTGTAATGTAATGGGCAGCACAAATGTCTTGATACCTCAGGCTGTTGATGTTGCCATCCACTCTGGAAATCTCTCGCACGCCCCCATACTGAATGTAACCCCAAACCATGATTTTTCCTTCACCAAACTTGCCTGATTTCTGTGAAAATCTAGGGTCCATGCAGGTTCCAATAGGTCTTCTGCAGTATTTGTGATGATTGGGATGCAGTTTCAACAGATTAATAGGAAAAATCTACCTTCTGCCACTTCAAGTCAACTAGAAGCCAAGTTATTATTTGTTGCTCTTACGACTGTGATTGACAACAAGACTTTTGTCAGGTAGTGTAAACTAGCATTTGTCATATAGCTTTTGATAAATGTATGCTATCTTATGTTTTGATAACATGAACTGTATTCAATTATTTATTGGTCTAACAGGGTTGTGCTTATTATCTTAATAAGTTATGAGTGACCAAACCAAAAAGTAGTTCATAATTTATGCCAAAAATGTCATTTTTAGGTAAACTATCCCTTTGAGGCCGCTTAATATAAAGTAGGACTCTTCTAGGGTCTCTAGTCAGTTGTGTATGAATGCAGACAGCCTGTATACTTACCCAAGTCTGTGTAATTGGATTTGCTGTACTGCTTTTGTCCACCAAGGCAGAGCTCAAAGTGAGGTTCGTTCGACCTGCGCAAAGTGTGTCCATTCTCAAGGGCAGCGAGAGCATCACAAGTGTAGCGGTAGGTGATGAAGCCAAAGTTATCCCTGCAATGAGAAATAAAAAACCAAGCGTCAGTCGCCAGGAACTAGGTGTGCATCATTAAATCAGCTTGCTGAATGTGACTTCCTGCTTTTTTTTTTTGTTGCAGGATAATCCTATTTGTATTTAAATATGTCTGTGACAGATGCTGGATGAGCACTGAGAAGCAGGGCGAGTCAGCATGAATAGCTGCTATTGCTATTGTGATATTATATCAAGGCGGGACTTGCCCAATAGGAATTGACTGGATGGCTGTGCTGTGTGTTTTTCTTACTAGGGCTGCACGATATTGAAAAAAAAAAAAAAAGGACATTGCGATATTTAGATTTCTGCATATATTTTATTTAGATTTTTAGATATATTTTGCAATTTAGTCTCCACTTCACTTCTTAATCTGCAATTACCTCTCTGAATATCACACTAACTGTACCAAAAAAAAAATAAAATAAAAACTAATACTACTAATACTTCCCTTCTTAGACTTTACAGACCTGAAACTTGCCTATAGCACTTATTCATTGTTGCTCTTAGTTGTCTAAATTGCTTCCTTGTCCTCATTTGTAAGTCGCTTTGGATAAAAGCGTCTGCTAAATGACTAAATGTAAATGTAAATGCAATATGAATAGAATTTTATAAAATAAATATTTGAAAGGAATTGCTCATTTTTAATTTTGTACGGAGAGCATCTGCATGAAATATTTAAATAAAAATATGCAAAAAAATAGACAAATTAAAGCATGGATGAAAACAATAGAACAAAAAAAAAGACGATGCTTTATGAATTTCGGTAGAGTCTAATAGTAATTCAGTCATTTATTTTACTTCGGCTTAGTTCTTTATTTCACAGCGGAATGAACCACCAACTATTCCAGGATACATTGCAAGTAGCGGATGCCCTTCAAGCCGCAACTGTGTACTAGGAAACACCCATACACTACGGCCAATTTAGTTTATTAATTTCCCCTATAGCGCATGTGCTTGGACTGTGGGGGAAAGCGGAGCTGGAGGAAACCCACACTAAGATGGGGAGAACATGCAAACTCCACACAGAAATGCCAACTGACCCAGCCGGGGCTCTAGCCGGTGGGCTTATCCCTTTAATACTATGATATAGTTAATTCAGTCAACAAAAAGTCAAAATCAACTAGTTTAAAAATCGTTATGGGTTTCTTTCTTCCATCTAACACAAGAGAAGATCTTTTATTTATTTATTTTTTACTTCAATGGAAGTCAATGGTTACAGGTTTCCAATCAATTTTACTAGATTCAAACCTTTATGGGTTTCTTTCTTCCATCTAACACAAGAGAATATTTTAAAAAAGTTAAAAACCTGTAATAATTGACTTCCATTGAAGTAAAAATCAAATACTATCGAAGTCAATGGTTACAGGTTTCTAATATTTTTCAAAATATCTTCTTTTGTGAAGAAAAACAAAACAAAACATAACAATAACTCATAATCACTTTAGGGAGTTTTATTCTTTGAGGGAGGAACTATATATTTAATACTATGATAAAAAAAAGTCAATTCAAAGTTCAACCAACTAGTTTCAAATCTTTATGGGTTTCTTCCATCCGACACAAGAGAAGATGGAATTTGTTTTTTTTTTACTTCAATGGAAGTCAATGGTTACAGGTTTCCAACATTTTTAAAAGTATCTTCTTTTGTGTTAAAAAAGATTCATTATCATAACTCAGCCACTTGAGGGATTTTTTTTGGGGGGGTGGGGGGTGGAGGGGGGGTGCTATCCATTTAGTACAATGATAAAATAAAATCAATTTAGTCAACAAAAAGTCCAAATATACAAAAAGTTTATCTAACACAAGAGAATATGTATAAAATATTACAAACCTGTAATGGTTACAGGGTTTCTATTCTTTTTAAAAAATATCTTCTTTTGTGTAAAAAAAAAAAAAAAAAAAACACAACCATATCTCATAACCACTTGAGGGAGTTTTATTCTTTAAAGAGGGGGGACTGTCCCTTTAATACTATGATAAAATAAAGTCAATTCAGTCAACAAAAAGTCCAATTTAACTAGTTTCAAACTTTTATAGGTTTCTTTCTTCATCTAACACAAGAGAATAAATTTAGAAAAATGTTAGAAACCTGTAACTATTGACCTCCATTGAAGAAAAAAAACAAACATATTCTATAGAAGTCAATGGTTACAGGTTTCCAACATTTTTCAAAGTATCTTCTTTTGTGCTCAAAAAAAAAAAAAAGATTCATTACTATAACTCAACCACATGAGGGATTTTTTAAGGGGGGTGGGGGTATCTCATTAATACAATGATAAAATACAGTCAATTTAGTCAACAAAAAGTACAAATTTACGAGATTCAAACCTTTATTGGTTTCTTTCTTCCATCTAACACAAGAGAACATATCTAAAAAATGAAAAACCTGTAACCATTGACTTTCATTAAAGTAAAACAAATACTATGGAGGTCAATGGTTATATTTTTCAAAATATCTTCTTTTATGTTCAAAAAAAAAAAACAAAAAAAAAAACATAACCATAACTTATAACCACTTGAGGGAGTTTTACTACGATAAAATAAAGTCAATTCAGTCATCAAAAAGTCCAAATTAACTAGTTTCAAACTTTTATAGGTTTCTTTCTGCATCTAACACAAGAGAATAAATTTTGAAAAACGTTAGAAACCTGTAACCATCGACTTCCATTGAAGAAAAAAAAAATCAAATAGTATGGAAGTCAATGGTTACAGGTTTCCAACATTTTTCAAAATATCTTCTTTTGTGTTAAACAAAAAAAAAAAGAGCTCATAACTATAACTCATAACTAACTCAACCACTTGAGGGATTTTGTGAGGTATTGATGAACTATCCCTTTAATACTGCAATAAAATAAAGTCAATTTAGTCGACAAAAAGTCCAAATGAAGTAGATTGAGAGGATTCCTTTCCTGCTGTGAAAAACACAGTGCCGACTTTATCCATCTGAAATACACACACTCCAGAAAAGCACACAGACGTGAGCCCGCGGTCTCACCCGTCATGTCTCAGGTTGACTGTGCTCTCCTCAATCTCGCCGAAGACTTCAAAGCGGCGTTTGAGCTCGGTGCGTGTGCTGTCGGCGCGAAGACGTCCCACATACACCACTCGCCTCTCCTCCTGCGCACAAAGGGAAAGCAGAAGAGATTAGTCCAACACACTGCTCTGCTTTGCTTTCTTCCTCTTCCCCCTCTCCTTGACTTCTCTCAACCTCACCCCGCCACTGTAATTAACATCCACCACTGTGGGAAAGCCAAGAACAGTCTGGAGGAAAAGGCTGCAGGACTAGCCTTTATCTTTTTCACTCTGTTTTCAGTGTGTGTGTGAGTGTGTGTGGACAAGAAGCAAGAGAGGTCGGTCTCTCTTTCACTGTGGGCTATCTAAAAAATGCTGAGTTCCACACAATCGATTTGTGTTGGGAAAACATAAAGGAATTAAGTTAACTTGTTAGTTTTTATAAATTTAAGTGGATCCTACATAAAATAATTAAGTTGTTTCCCCAAAAAACTCAAGAATTGTGTTGTTTTAGCTCAATGTAAACAAGTAGAAACAGCAAATCTCTTTTCTTTTTGTTTAGTTTATTGGTGATTTTACATTTTTTGTTTGTTTTTGTCTTTTTAAACAGGCTGTTTTAGATTGACAGACTAGATCTCCAAGCTTGCAGAATATGCTGTCTCTGCAATTTGATGACTTTTATTATTATTTTACCATCTACTGTGTTTACAACTGGAGCTGAAAAAAAAAAAAAAAATATATATATATACATATATATATATATATATATATATATATATATATATATATATATATATATATATATATATATATATATATATATATATATATATATATATATATATATATATATATATATATATATATATATATATATATATATATATATATATATATATATATATATATATATATATATATATATATATATATATATATATATATATATATATATATATATATATATATATATATATATATATATATATATATATATATATATATATATATATATATATATATATATATATATATATATATATATATATATATATATATATATATATATATATATATATATATATATATATATATATATATATATATATATATATATATATATATATATATATATATATATATATATATATATATATATATATAT